CAAATGAGCTAGTGAAGTTGATTGGGGAGTTTACCCAGGAGGAAAGGGTGGGAGTACTCTGTGATGGAAACTGTACGGAGGAAACAAATTTATGTTTTGCATGTGGTTTGAAATAACCTGGGCTATATGCTTCAACAGAGGTGTCACTAGGGGTCTTATTCCAAAAAAATCTTGTACAGGCTTACTGTGAAGTGTATGGTTATTTACAAAATAGTCTTGATGGTTAGACTCGTAGCCCCTGTTATGGCTATTTACGTTAGCGCGAGAGGGGTCTGCCACGCGTAACTGGGAGGAGTTGCGACTGTTGTTATACATGGGAGCCGTTGTTATGTGATGGGTCGGTACTAAAGGGTATGAGAAGTTTTCTTTTTGAGAGTAATTACAGTTGCGATCCTGGGGAATGTAGGTAGGGTGTGGAGTGAGAAACCTATTATTACCGTTCTTATTTATGGTTTTAGGCTTCAGGGGGTGATTTGGGTGGCCAGTTCTCTGGTAGTTTTCGTTAGTCTGCGTGTAAGAAGGCTTGCCACGTTGAAGCCCACCACCCTTTTTGCAACTTGGAGGTGTTGAAGGCAAGTTATACGATAGCAGCGGGGAGAACCTGTTCACTGTTCTTGGGATACCTATAGAGCAGTTGGGTTCAATCTTACGTGTTTCCCTATTCGGTATCATGAGTTTTGTCTTCCCACCCTTTATTTTCAGAGCAGGATTCTTTCGTTGTCTTTGTGAGATGAACTTACGTTCATTTAAGTCTACTTGTGGAATGTCTTTAGGAGGACAAATTTTCAAGTGTATAGGTTTAGTTGCACATGTGTTGTTACACGACTCACATTTTAGTACATTACTGAATGAACAGCTGGGATTAATCATGTCGTTATGGTTTTTGGTGTCAGTTGGGGTCCGTATCTTATCCAAAGGTTTCTGATCTGTAGACTCATCTAGATCAACAGAGTGATCAGCCGTATGTGGAGTGGTGTCATGCTTAATGTTCGTGTGTTTTAAACTATTTGCTGTGTTGCAAACTGTCTCTGGCTGATTATTAACTGTAACACTCCCATTCAATTCTATCGCTTCGCGTCTTCTTACACGACGTTGACAGGGCTTAAGGTCTGGAGTGACTTTTATATTTTTGTATGGAATTAGTGAGCTAATGTTTTTGCTCAAATCAATAAACTGCTTAGCATCGTTACAACAGCCAAACATAAACAAGAGGGGGCAAGTTGATCTGTCTGACTTTTTTTCTAAGGCGGATGACTTTGCAGTTAACGTTCGGCATACCGCATGCTCTAAGGCAAATATCTCTTAACTTAGATGGGTGTGTGCGGTCGGGGAGGTTATACACAACTGCATTGAAGGAGGACATTACTCTCTTCGTCACTTCTTCAGCCACAAACTCCAAAATACACTCAGCTTTAGTGAGTTGCTCAAGATTTCTGTCTGTATCAAGGCCCCATATATGAGTGAGGGGTGCTAATTGCTCAAGTTTGCCGTTAATTTCGGATAGAGAGTATTGTAGCTGTCGGATGTCATTACTATATCTATCAGTATTTTGGTGCGTATGAGGTGGACCATTGGACTCTTTAATTTTTGAAATTTTAGACTTAGGCCTTAGTAGCACATACTGTTTAGTAGACTGTGCTGACTTTTCAATGCACGTAGGTATAGTGTCTTGTATGTCAACCAGTCTTACCGTTGGCATACTGCACGTAAAGATAGAGGGGCTGCGACATGGAGAATCTGGTGACGATAGAGACATTTGTGTACAATGCACATATTTTTCAGTAGTTAAAGGTTCGACATTGTCAAGCACTGAGTCGTCAGTTGTAGGGGTTACAGATTTGGACCTTTTATTTGGCTTAGAAGTTGGTGAAATTCCTCTTTTACTGGAGTTATTGGACATGATATGAATATAAGTGAGCACAGTGCTCGTTAAATTAAATATAATATCTGAGTATTAGTTGTTATTAAGTATTAACCTGGTTAATACTAGGATTAGAGACTGTGAGTATATAATAAATTGCAGACCTATTTACGACTTAAGTCCGCAATAGGTACAATAAGAACTGGTAATTGTCCGTCGAATAAAAATAAGTTTTTTCTTATGTTTCGAGGTGAGATGTTCCCGATGTACAGGATAGGATGATAATCACAGTATAATACACCCTACAAAAGAGCAAGTCGAAGGATTCCTAAACCACGTGAAAAAAATGTTACCACTTTCAAAGTGACACATTATTCCTAATGAATGAATCAAAACAATCCATACTGATAGTACCGCGAGTGAAAGTTGAGAGTATTGTGGAACAGGTACACCGCGAACTTGGTCATGCGGGAGAACGGAGAACTGAACACGCTGTCCGTCAACGCTTTTGATGGTCATCCATACACGAAGATGTAGCTCAGTTTTGCAAGAATTGTAACACGTGCTGCCGTTTTAAATCACCTCAACAGATACCCCGTGCACCATTGACGCCGATGGTGACGACAGGACCACACCAGCGAGTTGGCATAGACATCATGGGACCACTAACTACGACAAAAAATGGGAACCGCTACATACTGGTTATGGTGGATTATTTCACTAAGTGGTGCGAAGCTGTACCCATTGCACAGCAAGACGCCCTTACTGTTGCCCGAGCTTTCATCGATCACTGGGTCTCCCGTTATGGTGCCCCTGTCTCATTCCACCCCGACCAAGGTCCATCCTTTGAAAGCCACCTCATTACTGAGACATGCCGGCTATTAGGAATCAAGAAGACACACACCACCGCCTATCACCCAGAAGGTAACGGCCTCGTAGAAAGAACAAACAGAACTATTAAAGCCATCTTGCAGTCGTTTGTCAGCAGATCGTCACCTTAGTTATGGGATGAGGTGCTCTCCCAATGCTTTTTAGCATATCGTACGTCGGTACATGGGTCCACGGGGTTCTCGCCTGCTATTTTGCTGTTCGGGCACGAACTACGCTTACCAGTAGAGATACAGTCACCCCTGCTGCCCTACGAAGAACAAGAGCATGTTCCGTATATACGTACTCTTCGCAACCGACTAGCTGATGCATACCGTCTGGTCAACATTAACTTACGCAAGGCTAGTGGACACCAAAAAGATATATATGATCGTCAAGCACAAGGACCTAGGTATACAGTTGGAGATGGCGTCTGGTGACGCCGCCCAATGACGTCGCTAGGGGGTTGCAGTAAATTCCATCATCCCTGGCAAGGCCCCTTTGAAATTGTTCTAATCCGATCGCCCAATACGTTTGTATTGCGTGACATACAACGGCCTAAAGACGACGTGATAACGGTGCACTACTACCAGATAAAACCCGATCGGACGACATTTCCCTTCGATGCTCAACTCGCTGATCCACCGCCGGCCACTAGATTTTACGAAGTACCACCTGAAGGAGGGACAGCATACCCATGCCCAAGATCAGGCACTGAGGACAGTGGCTCATTAGGAGAGGGGGCGATGTAACGGGATTAAAATCATCATGTATGATGTTGTTAATAGATTTTGTTTTCCTTCTATTGCAGGGCAAGCAAGAATAAATGCCTTAGAAGAAGAAGAGCAAGCCCTACACGCACTGAACTTACAGGATGACTCATAAGACCGTTTTGTAAACTAGCTCTCTTTCTGTACAGAACCCGCGGATTTTAATTTTTAAAATAAACGTCTATTGGCCTCCATTCCTCGTTCTCTCTGTGGTGTAGAGTGTTCAGTTAACATTGTGTGTGTTGGGCTTTAGGTCTTCCCGTCTTCCAGTGACTGCTGATTACACGTGTTACACAGTGGTATTTTTCCTCGCGGAGTAAATTTTTTTTATCGCTTAATACGTATCAAGACTACTGTTTTCACTTTAATTGAATTTATTTTAGTTAAAGTATTCGACTAGAGTATCGTTTTTACTGTTCCAAATCAGTTTTGTCGTTGGTACTCTTGAGTACCTCTTTTTCAACTGTATCTGTTAGTACTTTTGGTGGCTGCAATTAAACGCAACTCAATTTCGTAAATGTGCCCTTCAGCTTAGCAACCAATCAGAATAAGGCGGGAATTATTACATCCGCCATCTTCGTAAGCAATGGCGGTCGGCTTTCTTCGTTCTGTGCTTCTTTCAGCTATTTCTTTTGTGTAGCTACGGAATTTGATATTTCAGTGTGCTAAAATTCAGAAGTTAGTGTAATACTCTGAACGTCGGAGCAAAGTTTTTCCTAATTTTGCTTTGTTTTCTGGGTTTTACCTGCTGCTAATGAAGTCACTGTATTTATTCAGCTAAGCTGGCTAGTACTAACATAAGACCTTACGTTTTCAAACGACAATCGGTTATGTTTTGTCTTGTTTTCTAGATATCCGAAGCCGAAGTTCGTTTTCATTTAGCTAAAATAATTGTTGCTGTCGCCTGTGACTCTAACTGTTAGCATGTTCGTTCCTAACTTTCCTTTATGATGTTATCGGCAAAGTGAAAGAAAACAGTCTGCGTTTTTCAAATTTTCTTCAGTAGTATGGACAACACTATCCCACCAACGAGTCAAACTAATACAGAGTGCCCAGCAGTAGGGTATATCGGTACTGATTTCGAAAGGACCCAGACTTCCGACAACTATAGATGAAGTCACAGATGCTGCCAATCTATTGCAGAGGGTTTGTTATGAAAAATATGCCATATAGCAGTAATAGAAGGATTGTACTCATTACTCAGTGCGTTAAAGCAAGCTTAAAATTGAAAAGCCGGAAATCTGCAACCAGTGTCTAGTGTATGTTTGCGGTTTTGACCATAAAAAAAAGCCGAAGGCAGTTCACAAGTAACGTTCATTCTATAGTAACTGTTAGTGTTTGTTTGTTTAATATACCTTTTGTATTGCTAACGGTATTTTAATACCTTTGGTTTTACTAACGGACAGACATCAAGGTTTCTTTACTATTAATTTTTTTTTATATCACTATTAACCTAGTGTATCAATATATTTTGTGTAAGCTCCTTTTGTTTGGGAACCACCACATATCTGGCATTCAAACCACAGATTTTCCAACACTATCCTCCCCCACAAAATAATATTGGATCTTTGTATCCCCAAGTTATGAATAATGTGGCTTCATTTAAAACATATTTCTCACATTGTTTAGAGTAAACATTAGAACTGTTTTTGTGATAAGGGTAAACAGCAGTTGATATGAAATCATCCGAAATGTAATCAAACTCGAGGTCCCTTAGTACTCGTGCTTCGCATTGAGCAGGTTTTTCACAAGGATCAAATGCATTGAGAGGATCGGTAATATATGATATGACATCAGAATTTGATTCTTCTGACACATTTTAATGAAATTTATTAAGAATGTCATTGCACAGTAATGGATCAGTAGAAAAATCAGCATCTATCAAGACTACCTCAGGTTTTTAATCATGACTAGGTTCATTTAACATATTTTTCTTCAGATTTGTAAGAAACTTCATCAGAAATATGTGAATCATTAGGAAAAGCCATTTTTGGTACAATAACATGAGAAATCTGATAAGCTGGTTGATTAGAAACTGTTGTCTCGCAAGAATTCTGAATTTCATTTAACTCTGAACTGCCATATGACTCTGCACTGTCTTTTGAAATCGTTGATTAAGATAAATGATTATCATAAATGCTCGACTCAGTAGAATCAGAATTACAAGACTTAATGTTAGTTGCAGTAAGATAAACATTAGTATTACAGACTGACTGAATATGTCCAACATCACCACATTTAAAGCACTTAGAATTACGAAATTTACATGAATTAAAAGAGTGGAACATGCCACAGGACAATTACTGAGCAAACTTGTGCCCATCTTCCTGAAATGCATTGCAACTCCTCAACGAATTATCTGCATAGCCTTGAGTATGCACTGGGTCAGGATGACGTAGTAATGTAGTGGAATTTTTTGTATCATCATGAATCATTTTACGAGATCTCCCTCTTTTATCGCATTCAAAATTTGTATAATTAACATAGTCTAGCGGCAGTTTATTGAGAGTTGTATAAGGAAGCAAGATAGGCTTTTCCGGCATAGCCAGAGTTCTTAATAAGCTGTATGTTTCTTTTTCGATGAGTGTGAGGAAATGTGCCACAGTATTAACATCCTCATCATCTTCCTTGGTCATAGACCAGATTTCGAACCTTTCAAAGTAATTCTCAAAAGCCTCAGAAGTTGAATGAATATCTAACTTTTCCATTGCAACGACAGTATAATGTTTAGAAATTATTTGAATTATAGTACGAATTAAGAGTCCCACAAATAACGCACTTGAGTGAGGACACAAGCACAAACGAATGTATTGTATTTGGAATTAGAAATCGAGCATTCAACAAGTACAAAAAAACATTATTTAATTCAAACACCACAGTATTATCTCTCATTTCTCTCTCCAAATATCCTTCCTAATCTCGTAAATCTTCTTCAACCCATTGTCAATTCACACAACGTTTTACTCTTCTTTTTTGAAAATCTCGATTCTGTATTATTTTACAACTTTCCGATTACATATGTGAATATTACTATTTCCAGTTCCTTTTTGTTCCTTTGTCATCCTGGCTGTTCTCCTTGTTGTAGTCTTAATACAAAGAAATTCGTTTATACATTGTTATATGAAATTGTAGTCGAATTGGGATTACCAATTGTAGCGTGGCGTCGAGTTGAGATTAACTATGAACACCGCTACCAAGAAACACGTGCCAAGCGAATCAGAAGGCGTAAGAAGCTCGTTCCAAATGACTCCATAAAATCCCCGAGAAGCCAAATATCAGAAGACAGTTAATGGACCAAGTCGAGGTTTATTAGCTGGCGATCTCGTGGCATCGAAAGGATACCGAGATCGTGCCAGGATACAACCTTGGTTACAGAAGGTAACCGAATTCGCGCGAAGTTAC